CCCTACATAGAGACACACACACAGACACAAACACGTGCTTGCGCTGCTTCTTGCCTTTGCTCGATTTATCAAGCAACGCGTTCCCGAGTAACTCCAGTAACTCCTGAAGTAACTCGAGTGTTTTTGGTCTGAACTTTCTGAAAGTTGCACCCTTTTAATATGGTAACCAAATGTGTTTGTTAGCCCAATGCAGATGGCTCTAGCATTCAAAATGGGATTTTTTCAAATTATCGTACTACGGGTTGGTGCTATTAAAAAAATTAACTGAACTATTCGAGAACCTACATGCATAGCTGGGCGTCTAGTTCTAGTTATAGTAATCTCCGCGAATTGCTTAAAAAGCCATGTTTCAAAATCGATACTTATCGATATTATGCAAGGAATGGAAATGAGAAATTTCAATATATTTATGTTGCAAATATATATATATATATATAAATGTATCGGATTTGAATAAAGAAAGTATTGCTTTCTTTAATGCGGTAGGCTTTGCTCTTCCAACAAGCTTGAGAGCGTTCGCGTGCTGTCTCGCAAGATTTGCTCTCAAATCAGCTCAATTGACGTACAGTCACGACAAAGCACTGCACTGTACAAAGTCTCAAGTCCTGCGCATTTTCCAACACTGGCTGGTTTTAACGAAATAATCAGCGCACTATGACGTAACGCAACTCTGACAAAATATATATATGTGTTTGTATATAGAGACTTGGTTGAATATAGGTATATATACAGACTTGGTTGGATCGACGACTCAGCTCGGTCGGAGTTGCATGCCTTGCAAACAACTAATATGCCCTTCTTGCTGGTAACAGGATATTGGAACAATAAAGAACGCCTTGTTCCCATAGAAGCCATATGATAGCCATATAGTTGTTCGATTTGATACGGTTTTGGAGCTGTGTTGGGGGAATAATAAAGCTCGTTATTATTCACACACGATCTTTCAAATGGTTCTGTATAAAATGACTGACAATATAATATCATATAGAAGAAAAAGGTAATTATTCAGTTTGTTTAAGAAACAAAGCTCACAGAAGAACCGAACAATTCTCCAGGATAAATCTCAATAAATATATGAGATGGCAGCCCGATTTTGACAGGATTTGCCTCGCATATAAGAATAATGCCTAAAATCGTAAGTGTCAAGTGTGCTGAAGATATCTTGAGGGCCCAGAAACTGTATTCATGCATGTCAAAATAAAGCTGTGCCTACAGAAATGAGGGGAACGGAGGAACGTTATCTTAAACATAAAAAAAAAAATAAATACAAGATATGACAAGATATGACACATATATATGGAATGACATAGATAAATGTAGAATGATATTACGATTAGATCTTTTAAACAAATTAAGTAAATATCTAGATTGCAAAATTCCATTCCACTTCATTTTCTCTCTCTCTCTTTTTCAATGGACTTTAAGCATAAAAAGAATTTGTTATAAAAACAAAATATAATTTAAGCAATTCAATTCGAAATCGATATTCCAGATATTTAATTTAAGCCCTAAATCAAGAAATAAATGTAAAATACAATTTTTATTTCCGTGTAATTGTCTTCTTATACGGAAGCCACATTCGTACTTGTTTTGAGTTTGAACCAGCTAACTGGATCTATTCGTGATATTCAAATAAAAAATATTATATTAAGAGCCCAAGTTAAGGAAAACAAACACACATAGGCACACACAGCACTTGTGCTTCCTCTTCTCCCCTGATCCATACATTGGGTCGGGCCCTAATATAGGGATAGAACGAGAGGCAACTAAAGCTTGAAGCTTGAAGCTGAACGAGATTTTGCGACTGCAGCTGCAAGAATTCTAAGCTGATTGCCGATATTTATCGATTTAAGAGAATCGGAGCCAACTATCGATCAACTTAAAATGGTAACTTAAGTTTTTAGGACGTCTTCATAAAGAGACGAATGCATGGACGGACAAATTGACGCATATCGAATATTACGTATACGTCAAGTGATACGTTTTCCCCTAGATAAGTTTCTTGGAAACCCCCCACGAAGTCCCGCTGGCAGACAGAAAACCATTAAAAAGCGATATCCCTACTGGAAGAATCGCTTTCATATTTTATATAATTTTCATTACTTATTTGTTCCCTCAGCAAATAAGCGTGGTATAATTTACCGGTGCTGCACCTGTGTTAACCGTTGCGTAAAAAGTCCAAATGAATTATCCGCCAGTTGATTACGGACGTCAGTTGAATAGATTTCTCGCATATCAAGGATTTTCATAATATATTTATCCTGACAACAAGAGCGAGCACACTCACACACACACACAGACAATCAAACGCAGCCGAGTGGAAAAGAGACAGCGCGAACGAATGTGTCAAAAACTGTGTGGCCAGTGAGCGTGTGTGTGAGTGACGCCTGCTTTGAAAATTATGGTTTCGCAAGAACAACAACAACAACAACAACAACAGGAACGCAAGCGAGCAGAAGAAGCAGCTGCTAAAGAAGAAGAAGCGAGCACAACAACAACAACAACACTCCACACCCCGCACCCCTGCTGGCCTCTTTGCCGCAGACAATCTGTCACTCGATACGCGCCATTTTCGCTAAGCACCGACTCTCTACTCTCCACCCCCGCCCCCTCTATTGTTGTGGTTGTTGTTGTTTCTTTAAGCTGCTGTCCGCTGCGTTACCTTGTTGAGATTCCCCACACGGGCAGAGAGGCCCCGTTATACGGGCGCAGCGCAGCGAAGCATTCCAAACGGCGATGCCATACAAGTGATCGGTACAGCTGCGGCGGGGAGGGGTAGCAGAGCTCTTCTGTATGTGTGCGTGCGTGTGCATGTGTGTGCATGTGTGCGGCTAAAGGTGTCGCTTGCATAGAACAATGTTATTTAATTTTACCGTTCTTTTTATGCATTTTGGCCTTTGTTTCTGTTTCTTTTGCCGTTGTTCTTTTTCTTTTTTATTTCGTTTGTGTTACGTGTTTTCTACAGATTCACCCGCTGGGCGTCCCCAATCTGAAGGTGGCTAAGCGCAAGCCACCCCGTTGGGCGGCATGCAAATGCAATGGGGCAACTGTGGCAAAGTGTGGCAAAGTGTGGCAAAGTGCTCTGCACATGGAGTTGCAATTGCATAGCTCGTGGCGGCATCATGTTTCTTAATCAACTTTGTGGCTGTAAAGAGTGGGCAGGGGGCGCTGGGCGGGGCTGCTTCTCACTAACCTGCCCCAATGATTTCAGTTTTCCTTTGTTGCTTCTTCCGCTGCGCTCTTCTTCACATATGTTGCATGTTCCTTATGTTGTTATTGCAGCATTTTTGATTTGCAGCAAATGTGCAATCGACCTGCGCCTAAAAGTAGGCAGCGACTTTTTGCCAACATCGCAGCTGACCCCGCCAGCCCCCTCGCAACGGCTGGTCAAGGCACAGCCAACAGCCGCACACTAAAACCGTCTAATAATATTACAAAGTTAGTTACAAGCACACACACACACACACACGCACACGCACGGACACACGCACACAAGCACGCACACACATGTAAGACTTCGCTGACGCTTGCCCGCTGTCCAGTGCGGTATGTGTGTGTGTGTGTGCATGTGTGCATATGTGTGTGTGTGTGGGCGTCTCCATGCGCTGACCAGCAGGTAGTTGAAAACTTGACAGCAGCGATGGCAACGGCAACTTTGTGGGGGATGCGACGCCAGCAGCAAAGCTGACGGCGCAGCCAACGTCAGCGGCGACAGCGACGCCGACGGCGACACCTGCAGCTATAAAAGCGGTACGACGGCCAGAACATTGTCTCAGTTAAATATTGTTAATTAAGCGACAACAGCGACGAGCAGCTCCAGCCAAAGCAAAGAGCAACAATTTTTGCAAAATATCATCAGAAAAAATATTTATTTTTTTGTGTGCATATAAAAAATAAGGATAAGCTGTATATATACATAACAAATTTTTTTTTTAAATAATTTTTTTTACTGTGCTAATCAAAAGTTTGAAGTTACCCAGAAATCCGGGAAATGGCCATGGAAATGCAATTTATGCAGAAATATTTTTGGAATCGTCTAATTGGCTAGCTTTCAATTTTAATTAGGATGATTTGCAGCAAAAGGGACCACTAGAATTATTTAAATTGAAAATCAATAGCCGCTGCGACTATTTAATTCAATGAACTGACAAATTGTCAAATGTAAAAACCAACAAAAACAAAATGAAAAGTAACACCAACAACCACGGCAGCCAAACTGGAGACTTAAATATTCAAACCTGGGATTTGGGAACCGAAACATATGTTGGACCCTGTGGCCCATCATTAATTCAGGCCTAAACTTGTAGAGGACAGGCCTCTTCCGAAAAGCAAAGCAGTCGATTTTTTCAAGTGTTACAGTGCAAGTGTGCAATATGATATTGATATATCATCTTGTTGGTATCTATATATAAATATATATATATATATATTTATATGGCATTCACGAGCGGTACTTATTGCAGCTGCTGGCCACTGCACAAGATTAGACTTAAGACTCTTGTGCGTGTGACAGCGGCTATTGTAAGAGACCAGAGAAACAGCAAATAGTTAACTATTTTTCTTATTACTAATATTATATTATAATAAATGTCTTGCATTGCAGTTTTTTGCTTTTTTTTTTCGTTAAAAGACACTTTAAAAAATAGAAATTTATCCCACCCCAAAAAATCCTCTGCACAACGAAGCCCTGCAAATGCATTCCAAATTTTGTTGCTATACAGAAAAAATAAAAGGTTTTCACTTTTTGTTGTTGTATAATTTATAGACAGCAGAAAAAAAAAACTATTCTTTTGGTATTCGTGAAGGGTTGCTAAATTGTAACGGTTCTTAATCAAATTAACGTGCAAAATTCAAAATTCAGTGCGCCTTCCAGCGCATACCCATGAAGTTGGCTGCGCGCAAATTGCGCACTCACCCAAAGTCTGCACGCAATTTTGCACTGACGTGAGGCTGGCTGCACGCAATTATTTCACTCACGTGAAGTTGGTTGCGCGCACATTTGATATATCGCTGATATTTATCGAAAACAATAATACAAATTTCAACACTTGACATTTTGGCTGTCCAGAACAGCTGGCAGAAAGCTACAAATAGGTAAATACGGTCGGCAAAATTTGCTCTAGTGACAGACATGACGCCGCCACCGCCACCACCACCAACAACGGCAACACAGCCCAAACAACAACCGCCCCCGCCAAAGGGCCAAAGCATTGCACCCACTGGCGCTTTTCCAGGTAAGCCCAGGCCAAGCAATTCTTGCGTTAAAGGCATTATAAGCGTATTCCTGTCGAACTGTTAGGTTCACTCACTCCCGGGTGGAACGACCCGCCGCCAGTTAGCGCAGACGGGACGGCCAGCGCTGGCAATCGTCGTCCCCGGCTTGATCTGCGCAAACGCGTGGCGTATCCCATGAATGGCAGCGAGAGCAATCCACAAGCAACGCAGCCGCCACCGCCGCCGCTTTGATGTGATCTGGAACAGCTCGAACCGCGACACTGGCACCAATGGCTGCCACGTCAGCTCTAGATGTAATCGCTCTTAATAACGCAAGCTTAATATTTTCAAAAATTCCAACAATAATTTACATAGATAGCAACAAAATATATATATATATACATATATACATGATATATGTAGCTCATTATGGTGTTTGCCTCTACCAGGGCAGCTGTTCGCCGTTGTACTGATAGAAACCGCCATTGTGCGACTCGTTCAGCTGGCAAATTGTCTTCACAATCTGCTCTGTGCTTGTGGTCACATCCAGTGGCGCATTGTTGCCGCCCATGTCAGTGCGCACCCAGCCGGGATGCAGGCTAACGCACAGTATCTTTTGTGGTGCCAAATCGATGCTCATCGACTTGGTGGCCGCATTCAGTGCCGCCTTGGAGGTGCGATATGGCAAGAGGCCGCCGTCTGTGTTCGCCTGTATGGAGCCCAGAATGGAGCTCATATTGATAATGGCAGCACGCTTCACGCTAAGGGATACGTTCTCGTTGACCTCCGAAGCCTGCTTTAGCAGCGGCAAACAGGCCTTGGCCAGCATAACAGGCACCACGGTATTTGTTTGCAGCGTATCGATCAGATCCTGCTGCCTTGTGGCACCAAAGCGCACAGACTTGGGAGCAATGCCAGCATTATTGAAGAGCACATTGAGACCGGCATCTTTGGTCACCTCGGAGATTTTGCCAACTAGCTTGTCGTATTCCTCAAAGTTTCTCAAATCTGTTGAAAAGCAGTGTTGATGTTAGATCTCAGCTAAATTAAAGCAAGCAAGTGTGCTTTTACATACCAATCTCAACTATATGTATATTCGAATGCTCCTTCGCCAGTTTAGTGAGCTCCTGCAAGGCAAAACAATTACAATTTGTACGTCGTCAAAAAGACTGTTTTTCAAATGTGGCGCCAAGCACATGCACAGCTAACTTCAAGTGTGCAATAAAGTATCGATATATTTTTTGTTTGTTGCGATACATTGAAACTATCACTGGAAAAAGTGCTGCAAAAGCCGTACAAAAGTAGCGCCAAGTTTGCGCAGAGCGGCATCGTCGGCGTCGGTGCGTGCGCAAAAAAGCACCGATTTACAATTTCTTGCGATACATCGATAGATTGTGCTTTCCATAACTGGAAAACGAGCAGCAGCAAAAGCCGAGCCAAAGCATCGAACCGAAAGCGTAAAAGCAATTGCAAAAAGTTTACCGCTTATTTCGCATTTGCGTTCGCTGGCGAGAGTGTTGCGCAGGGATAGCTAGTTAACTGTCATTTCGACAAAATCGAGTTTGTTATTTTTTTTGTTAATTGCCATTTAAAGTGACCGTGCAAAGTGTGTTCATCTTCAGTCTAACTGAATAAATTTGTTGAATATTTGGAAGCAAGTTCTGATCCTGTTTTTTAGCCTAAAACACTTGCCAAGACTGCAAAACATGGCGCCCGTAGACGGTAAAGGTGAGTAACAGAAGTGATGCCACACACAAGACAAGAATATTTGTTTCTGTCTCGCTCGCGTTACGGGTTATATTGTTATTGCTGTTCTTGCTGTTCTTGCTGTTGTTGTTGTGGCTTTTGCCACTTATAATTATTCGCGTAGTTTCGATGTAGATGTCGGTGATACTCTTTAACAACTGACCCTGTGCATGAGTCACCCGTTGGTGACATGACTAGACAAAACTACTTACTGTGGCCTGCTCCAGGTTGCGGCATGTGGTAAATAGATGCTGCGGCGGCTCCGGCAGTGCGTTCAAAGCCTTCACCAGGCCCAGACCCAGTCCGCGATTACAGCCCGTTATTAAAATCGAGTTCATTTTGTCAAATTGTTTTTGCTTTCTGTTAAAGAAATCTAATCGGGTATTTGCACTTAAGATGAGGCAACAGGCACAATAAAATGTTGAAGCTTTATAACTGACACAAACGGCGTAAACTGGCTGCTCCACGAGGCGCTGCCTTGGCTACACTGCTTTTAGTTGCGTTTATCGCCTAACGTCAACACTTTGCGCACTCTTTATTTTTTATAACCAATAGACAAGCGCTTCCACATAGCGGCCGGTGGCGAAGGCAGCTGGTAGAGTTGCCAGCTGCACGCAAAGGAAGCATAAATGGCTGAAAAGAGTGCCAGCTTATTAGGCTGTACGGCAACCCTGACGAGGGCAGCCAACTGTTGCTCTTTCCAGTCGTTGTATTTATGCAAGTTATGCTAATTAATGTTTTTACTTTATGTTTGCAAAGGCTAATGAGACAGCTCGGCGACCCTATAACTGCCGCCATCTACATTGAATTCTCTTTTCAACGCGCATTCGCATACAACAGCTCTGCCGCTGTTACGTGGTGAGCGTCGCTGCCCACACTTTCCAATCATTCCAAGCACCGAGCAGCCGCCTGACGACGACGTCGCTCTTTTCATTCTTTTTGTCTTCTCCTGTGTCCGCGATTTCGCCAACAAAAACTAAAACTTTGTTAAGATCGCGCAGCGCAATAAACAACTTGAGAATTTCGCCATAGCTTAAAATTTGAGCTACAGCTACCAAGTACCTAGCTAGTGCATCGAGGGGAAGCGTGCTTCAACGTACACACATATATAAGGCGATTATAGATACGTATACAACATGTCGCTTACATTGTGGAATTCGAGATTTTCAGTAACGCTGGTGCGCCAGCAGGCGACGATTTTTATGTCGAGTGCGACAAAAACAATCGCTGCAAATAGTTTACACTACACGTTCAATAACAATTCCCAACCACAACACCAAATACAAAACCAACAACAACGAAGATACCTAACAACAGTAATGAAGCCAGTCAACACAGCCTTGCCTGACAAGGGGACTAGACGCACTTCGCAATCGGGTAACCGCAATCCTGGTAAAACATTGACACAGGGCCGCAACTCCCTCGATAGCTCGACCAGTGATTCCGGCATAAATGTGCCGCCCTTTAATCACCCCCACTGCGATAGGCAGGCCATGTACCAGCAGCCCGTGCGAAAGGTTAAGCCACTACGAGGTAAGCCAATACCACCGAAGCCCCAAAAGATTTGCAACTCTGCTGGTGATCACCGTCTTTCCAACCAGTTGGCAACGCCATCAAATGAAATGGCCGCTTTTATAGTCTTGTATGCTTATAATTACACTCTGCTGCTGCTGCTCTCTCTCCCGCTCGCTCTCACACACACACATATCCATTGTATTTATGAATTTATTATACAATAACTGTTAAGCGCCCCGCGCCGCTACGCACGTACGTTATCGAACGTGAATCGATTATTTGCCGGGCGTCGTTACCATTGGCTAAAATTTGTTATTATTTTGTGCACAGTCACGATCATGCAAGTGAAGGGTTTTTTGCAGCGAAGGGCGGCTTGAGGGTATATTTGGTAACAACTTTCTAACTCGAGTAATTTTATCGCCAGTTCATCTCGCTTCGGTATTTCACAAGATGCAACAAACTCGACATTTGCCCGCTGATAGCTGGGAATGTTCGAGAATATCTTGAGATATTTTGCAAGCACATCCTCAATGCACATACCGATTACGTCATCATGATTATCATTATCATCATCCTCATTAACACATCGTCATCGTGAATGTATCGAACTGCTGCTGCAATCGTGACTTGTTCTATGCCCTTACATTAGGTTCGCACCGTACAAGTTGACCAGTTTGTGACGCAATCAGTTGAGGGCTGTGGGGGGGTGGGGTGGGGTGACATTGTGACTGACTGGCAACGATAACTATGTAGTTATTTTATCAGCAGCACGTAATGACCCCCTTCCCCCCCCCCCCTCCCACCATCCCACGTACCACAATTAATTAGCTTTAGTATGTGGTTGCCTATTATATATTGTTCTAATGTTAATAAGCCTACGCTTAAACTCGATAAATGCTGTTCAATAGATGTCTATACACTATATATGGACATACATATTCATATTCATATTCATATTCACTGCGATCGGCATTGATTCGATTTCATTAAAACGCTTCGATAATCTTTGGATTTTATTATTTCCTCAATTCGGTATTCGAACAGCTTATGCTTATCAGAACGGTTCCGCTCCAATTGGACTTTTGGCTCAGCAATTGAATGGATGATTTGTATTTTTAGATATTTCTAATTTCTACAACGTCATTCCGGGTTTTATCATGTGGAAATTGCAACACTTTCAAATAATTCGGAAAAGCATTAAATCGTCCTACAATATGATATAGTTGAAATTTAATTTTATGCATTTCAATTATGTGCTTTATCATGAAGATAATAATGCCATGTACATGACATTGGCACAGTTGGATGAAAATCGAGCTTATGCATGAACACGACAATTGTTTTCTTTTGATTAGCTTACATTATCAGGAAACATATATTTATAGGCATCATTAATTTTTATTGTAATCAATGAATTTGAGAAGGTCTTCGGCCTGATATAATATCTGTCGTATGTTTGCAAAGGCCGCGAAACCTGCAGCCATTTTTCCTATTAGTTAACATAATTCGTCAGATTAATATATCGATAAACTGTTAATCGATAGAGAGATCCTGGTGTGCTCTTAAGCTTATTGCATATCAACTGGCTGGCGCCCTTTGCCTGTCTGGCAACCCTGCCTCACCACACCCCCCCCCCCCCCCACCCCACCCTTCCAATTTGAAACGGTTTATTCGTAGCCATGGCAAACGTATTGGATCCAAAGCAAACCGCGCGTCAAGGCGGGGCTTGCGATGATTGCTCCACTTTGATTTGCACGGCGGTGACACACATGTGCATAATTAATAAGCGGGACAACAACAACAGCAAAAAACACAGGCTTCTGTGCTGAAGCAGCAATTGCCGGGCAAATGCATCTATTTGAATTTGTGCCCGCCTCACTCGCGGATAAGCAGCCCGCCGAGGGGCGCAGCATATATCGTTCCGCATATATGGACATACGACTTCGGAAAACGAAACAGCAGCAGCAGCCCGCCAAGGGGAAGCTGCCACGGGGTATCAACTGCCAACTGCCCCAAATACACACACACACACACTTCCTACGGAATCATTCCATGTGCAGGTTTTTTAATGTTCGCTCTTTGATTTGCAGGTAACTACGATTATGATCTGGTTGTCATTGGCGGCGGTTCTGGTGGCCTGTCCTGCGCCAAGGAGGCCGTGGCGCATGGAGCACGTGTTGCCTGCTTGGATTTCGTGAAGCCAACACCAATTGGCACCAAATGGGGCGTCGGCGGCACCTGCGTCAATGTCGGCTGCATACCAAAGAAGCTCATGCATCAGGCCTCCCTGCTGGGCGAAGCCGTGCACGAGGCAGCCGCCTACGGCTGGAATGTCGATGATAAAATCAAGCCCGATTGGAACAAGCTCGTCTCCTCCGTGCAGAATCACATCAAGTCCGTCAACTGGGTGACACGCGTCGATCTGCGCGACAAGTAAGTGACCGCGACCGCGACCCAAACAGATGGCCACATCAATCGAAGCTTTATTTAATGCCATTCATGCTCTTTGCTCCCTTTGCAGAAAAGTCGAGTACATCAATGGCCTGGGCTCATTCGTGGATCCGCACACGCTGTCCGCCAAGCTGAAGAGCGGCGACCGCACGATTACCGCTCAAACCTTTGTGATTGCCGTCGGCGGTCGTCCACGTTATCCGAATATACCCGGCGCCGTGGAGTATGGTATCACCAGCGACGATCTTTTCAGTCTGGAGCGTGAGCCCGGCAAGACCCTCGTCGTCGGCGCTGGCTGTAAGTGCCTCCTGATCTTAGTTCTTGATTTTGTGCTTTATAGCTAACCTTTTCTGTTCCTCTCAGACATTGGCTTGGAGTGCGCCGGCTTCCTGAAGGGTCTCGGCTACGAGCCCACTGTGATGGTGCGTTCGATTGTGCTGCGCGGCTTTGATCAGCAAATGGCCAATTTGGTGGCCGCCTCCATGGAGGAGCGTGGCATTCCGTTCTTGCGCAAAACTGTACCGCTGTCCGTCGAGAAGCAATCGGACGGCCGACTGCTGGTCAAGTACGAGAACACGGAGACCGGCGAGGTCGAAAGCGATGTATTCGATACGGTCCTCTGGGCCATCGGGCGCAAGGGTCTGGTCGAAGATCTGAATCTGCACAATGCCGGTGTGCTCGCGCACAAGGACAAGATTCAGGTGGACTGCGAGGAGACAACCAATGTCCCGCATATTTATGCTGTCGGTGATATTATCTATGGCAAGCCCGAGCTAACGCCCGTCGCTGTCCTAGCCGGCCGTCTGCTGGCTCGTCGCCTCTACGCCGACTCGGATCTGCGCATGGATTACGCCGATGTGGCCACCACAGTGTTCACACCGCTGGAGTATGCCTGCGTCGGCCTGAGCGAAGAGGATGCCGTCAAAGCGTACGGTGCCGAAGAGATTGAGGTATTCCACGGCTATTACAAGCCCACGGAGTTCTTCATACCACAGAAGAGCGTGCGCTATTGCTATGTGAAGGCTGTTGCCCAGCGCAGCGGCGATCAGCGCGTCTATGGCCTGCACTATTTGGGACCGGTCGCCGGTGAGGTAATACAGGGCTTTGCCGCTGCCCTCAAGTCGGGCCTGACCATACCCACGCTGATGAACACCGTGGGCATTCATCCGACCACCGCCGAGGAGTTTACACGTCTCAGCATCACCAAGCGTTCCGGCCTCGATCCAACGCCCGCCAGCTGCTGCAGCTAAATGGAGTGCTCCATCACAATGTATTTGCCCCCCAATTCACACACACACACACACACACGCTAACATCTGGTTGGGCCAACGAATTTGAGAGTTGTTGCCGCTTCAAAGCGATAAAAGTTCAAGTTTTAATTTAGTTTCGATAGTAGCACACACACACACACCAACACACACACAATAGCTCAGCCGACCCACAGACGGGCAGACGGGGCACTTTTTTTTAGGGAGGGGGGGAAGGGCCTCTTGACTTTAGTCGAACTGAAGCTCTTACGAGATACCCAAAAGCCCCCAAAATTTGCCTGGCAGCGGCCTCTGTGCGGCATGCATCCAAAATTACGAAATTATGTTATGAATGAAAATTATGTATGAAAATTATTATGAATGATGATTAAATAATAATAAATAAATCTGTAATTTTACGGTTAACAAAAAAATTAAAACATAAAAAAAAGCAAATATAAGCTTTACATTCACATGCGAAACGATTGTCGTGTATTATTGTGAATGATTGATGAATGACGCACGGCTAGAGCTACAAATCCGAAGACCATGTCGTCCGTATTGGAGTCTTTTAATTTTTTGGTGAACGAGGGAAGGTTTCCAAAAGGTCCTCCTTATACTATGCGAGAACCAACATATCGATTTAGGTATTTGCAGCTCTAAGCTCTGATAAGAAACAGGATGGCCTCATCGATATTTATCGGTCTCGTGGAAAAGCAGCAAGTTATCGATGACTTGAAATGAAATCGATCAGTCTTTGAGTCTCAGAGCTACGCACAAACAGACTGATGGCTAGATCGGGACGCAGCTCGTTGATGCCGATCAAGAATATATGTCTGAAGGCCGAGACAAAGTCGTCCAGTTATAGATTCTCTTACAGTTTTTGGGTAAACGAGGAAAGGTTTCGAAAAAGTCCATATTGCGGGGCTGCTTATACTATACGAGAGCCGAAATATCAAATTAGGTATCTACAAGCGCCAAGCTCCGTGGTGTGATAAGAAACAGGATGTCCTCGTCGATATTTATCGATTTCCCGAAGAAGAAAAAATGATGTTATCGATGACCTGAAATAAAATCGATCTAGTCTTTGAGATCGACGCGTTTATCGTTGCGGACAAACAGACAGATGGCAAGAACATATTTAGTTAATTTATACAGATGTATGCTGAATAAAAAAGAATACTAATGAATCTCTAATTAAAGGCAATTCAAACCCAACTGGTTAAGATACTATTCGTATATCCCCCGTGGATCCAATACGGCATAAGAATGTCGGATATACGAACTGAAATAAATACGATTTGGCACTAGAAAAACGAAACAAGATTTACATAATCCAATTTCGTATATTCAACTTGGTTTTCAAAGCAAAATCAAATTGAATATTTCGTATGCCTTTTGCTTTCATCACGAATTCAATCAGCATATATATACCCTACTTCCATATATGTATGTATATATATATGTTATGTCATGTCAGCTCCCTCTTAAAAAGCATAAAAACTCACCCCAACGGGATCCTTAAAGTGTATGATATTTATATTGTATATATAAGTATATTTGAAATGTAGCTTTTCGCTAATTGGCAACCGATTAGAAGAGTGCAAGGGCTGAGCACAAGAACGAGAAGTCTATATAATTAAAGTGTTTAGTTTATAGTAGCTCGAATCTACGCGGTCTACATTATAATAACTCTTATGTGCATATACAATATATCGCGCAATTTTACTATATATTTCACGTTTCACGTTTATTTTGTGGTTCTGTTGGGTTTATCCTTTTCCTATTTGCGAATTGTTTAGTTTGTTTCTTTTCCAACAAGTTCAATGACATTTACAAACTGCTCAGCGCGCCCCGCCCCCTGCACAATTGTTTTAATTCCATTTTCTTTCTTTCTTTCTTTTTTTGTCTTCGTAGCATCTTTTGCAGTCGCTTCCGTTTCCGCTTGCTGCTCCCCAACGCTGCTCGCTGCTGGCCAGGATTTGAGTATTCGGCAATAATCGAAGAGCAAAAAGTGTTTGGATAAGCATTTAAAAAAAAATAAAATCAAAAAAACAACATTAATTATTTAGGATTTATGTTATAGGCCACATCAGATCGAAATTGGGGCGCGGCCGCCGTTTAGATGGCCGCACACTGCTTGGCCGCCTCGTCCTGCCGCTGCTGCTTGTTGACCGCCGATATGCACTTGGCCATGGTGGGCGAGGCGCGCGAAATGGCATCGGTCATGAAATAGTCGCGCAGTTCCTTTTGCTTCACATCGATGGGCGTGCCGCTGATGGATTTGCTCTGTAAATGATGGCAGACAAATTGGTTTAGTTGCGATTCGTTTTGGCACGGAATTTGATTGGTACTCACGGGTGTGGCCTGGGCGCTCGCCTCGCTGCCGCCCGTCGGCTGTAGTTGGCCGTAACGCGTTAGATGTGGCGCAATATTGTCGAGACGCGAGCGCAGCTCGTCGAGCGTGTCGTAGGGCAAGGGTGTGCCGACCACCTCGGAGAGAGCGCGCAGGATTTTCCAATCCTCGCGTGCCATGCCCGGCGGCGAGACGCCCGGATGTGTCTGCTGTGACCTGCCCTCCGTGTTGACATAGGTCGCCTGCTTCTCGGTGTACGCGGCGCCGGGCAGCACAGCGTCCGCAATGGACGCACCATTGTCACCATGCGAACCAATATACACAACGAAACAGTCGTTTGGCAGCTGTTCGCGCGTTATCTTGCCGGCATCGGCGTTCAGCAGAAACAGCACCTTGGGCTGTGACTGTAATGCGCGCTGCACGCCCGGCTGGTAGCCCACATCGAAGGCGCCCACCTGCGCGGCGCTGTTGTGCAGGACATTGAAGGGATTCCAATCCTGCAACAGAATTACACAAATGTTTAACGCTTGCGACTCGAACATGGCCGCCGACTACTCACAGGCTTCTTGAGCTTCTGACAGTACTCGGAGATGGTGGCATGTATGGCAGCGCCATCGGGACGCTCCAGCACATCGACGCCAATGATAATGGCCGGCTTCTTGGCGCCCTCGAGCACCTTGGAGAAGGCATGCGAGCCGCTGCACACGTCCTTGATCAGGCTGGCGTCCGAGCCCAAATTGTCGTGCTGATAGGACAGATCGATTTTGGGTCCAATCGAGGCAATCTGCAGCTCGTTGTGAACGTAGGCCTTGCGCAGGCGCGTGTTGACCAGCGGCGCCTCGTAGCGCGGATTGGTGCCCACCAGCAGCACAGCATCGGCCTGCTCTAGGCCTAAAACGCAAACGCAAAACGTAAATACATGTGAAAGCAGGAAATGGCAAAAACACCTACCTGCAATGGTGCTGTTCAGCAGATAGCTGGAGCGCACATCGATGCCGCTGCCCTTGATGAAGTCCTGTTCGGTGACCAGTTGGTTGCCGTCCAACCGATTGATCAGATCCTTGAGTGCAACCATCGCCTCCACATCGGCCAGTTGACCGGCAACGCCAGCAATCTGGCCGTTGGCCTTCTTCAGCGCCTTGGCCACGCTGATGAGCGCGCCCTCCCATTCCACGGCCTGCAGCTCGCCGTTGGGCATACGCACCATGGGCGCCACCAGACGCTGACGCTTCAGGCCGTCGCAGGCGAAGCGCGACTTGTCCGCCAGCCACTCCTCGTTGACGTCCTCGTTCTCTCGTGGCAGGATGCGCAACACCTCGTTGGTGCGTGTGCTCACCACGATATTGCTGCCGACGGCGTCGAGCACATCGATGCTGTCCACCTTGCGTATCTCCCAGGGGCGTGCAACAAAGCTGTAGGGTTTGTTAGTGAGCGCCCCGACGGGGCACAGATCGATCACATTGCCCGACAGCTCGGTGAGAAAGAGCTTCTCCACGTAGGTGCCAATTTGCATATCATTGCCGCGTCCAGTTGTGCCCAAATCATCGACGCCAGCAATTTCAGAGGCGAAGCGCACACAGCGGGTGCAGTGAATGCAGCGCGTCATCACTGTCTTGACCAGCGGGCCGATGTCCTTGTCCTCCACAGCACTAAAAGGCGAGCAGAGCAGAGTAAAGAGCATGGATTATATTTAGAGCTGTGAACGAGCTTACCGCTTGCCCGTGTAGTTGATGTCCGTGAAACGTGATCGATCGGAGCCAAAGGCCATGGCCTGATCCTGCAGATCGCACTCACCGCCCTGATCGCAAATGGGGCAATCGAGCGGATGATTCATGAGCAGAAACTCCATGACGCCCTCGCGCGCCTTGCGGGTCAAATCGGAATTGGTCTTGATGCGCCAGCCCTTCATCACGGGCATGGCACAGGCGGCGACTGGCTTGGGGCTCTTCTCCACCTCCACCAGGCACATGCGGCAATTGCCAGCCACGGCCAAGCGTTCGTGATAGCAGAAGCGTGGAATCTCAACGCCCACCTCAGCCGCAGCCTGCACGTTTAGAGTGGAGTGGAGTGTGCTCTTTGGTATTTATTTGAAAGCTAAGCTCAAGTGTGCTCACCTGGAGCACTGTGGTGCCTGGCAGAACCATCACGGGTATATCATCGACAAAGACTTCGATCTTCTCGGGCGCCTTGGCCGGCGTTTGGGCCATGATCGCGCTGGTGCGGACCGCTCGGCTGGCGATTTGGTGTGTGGGTGAGCCGAGCGCGCCCAGCGCCTTCACAAGCGGTGCACGTATCATATTTTCTGCAACAAATCAATACACAAACAACAAATTGGCAACAACATTCAATTTACGGGCAATTACATAAGTTGCAAGCGCAGGCCGAGCAGACACTTTCTCGGCCATTTATCGATTTGTGGCAGCCTCGCCTTTGCTCGCCAAGCCGAGCGCTTACCAGTTAAATAAAATCGCAAGTGCCAGCGTAAACAAAACTTACCGATATGCTAGAAAATATTTAGCAGCGCTACAAATAAATTTTAATGCCGAGCAGACAACTTTTTTTTATCGCTTTTGACAGTCGCAGTGTAACAGCGGACAGGGTTGCCAGCTCTTTGTTTGACAGCTGACTTAATGCGCGGCGCATTCAAATGGCAAATATCTAGTAGTATGCTGTTCACAGTGGATAAGAACAATGGCCAAGCAAAAGTTTAAGAAAGCACTACACAACTACAATACAATAATATTCAAGTGAGAAGTAGCTTATTTCCAATTAGCGATATTGAAACCTAGTGTACATATATTTGTTTTAGGGTAATCTTAATAATTTATGATTTGATGCTATTCCAATTATAATAATACAAGAAAAAAAAACAAAGTACTCATCAGTGTTGCATACATGTCTCTTGCTTACTCAATAAAATTGCATATCGGATTACGAATTTGAATTCATTGCTTGCAGCCCTCGTCGGACAGCTGTTCACCTTTTATTTTGTTTACTGGTTTTGTGGCCATTGCCATTCACACGTCAACGGCGGCGCGTGCAAAACTCGTTTGATTTTCAATTTGAAATGCAAATTGTTATTTCAAATAAGGATTGCGCTGTGCTGTCAGCAATGAATGCGTCAGCATAAAAACAACAATGGACAATGGGCCATGCTACCTGGCCACACATCGTGGCACAATTCATTCAGCTGCGCAATGTCAGCGGCGTTTAACAATGTTGGCGCCACACACAACACACACATGCACGCACACAGGTGAATGCATGTGTGGCGTCACACTGATGCGACGGCGGCGCCACAAGTGAGATTTCTTGATTAGAGATCTGAGAGTCACGCGAAAAAAAAAACTAAATACAAATACACACACAGATAGCAAGGATGATGCTTGAGAGGTAGCCATATGTACAATGTGTGTATGGGTGTATGTGTGTGTTTGTGCCAACGCACGATTTGTGGCTAGTCTGGTGCCTGCTGCCTGGTAATCAGATAAAAATATATTATGACGTACCAGACCGACTTTTCATTGTTAATTGAGCGGCGTTGGCGGCGCAAGCATCACCGGCAAAAAACCTTTCTGGCCAAGTCGGGGCCGAGACCGGCCCTGAATGATTTGAGATTGAGACGTGCTTGATATCTGTTGGCATCGGTAACGGCGGCGGCAGCGGCGGCGTCGGCGTTGCCGATGCTGCGCGACGCGTCTTTGGCTGGCGTCTGCTGGCTGTCGCGTCGCGTCGCGCCTCTCCGTGCATTGCTCTTATCTTGTATCTCACCATTTCGTATGTTTTGTTGCTGTTGTTCCTCCTCACATTATCGCATTTGTATCTGCTGCTGCCGCTGTTCCAGCAGCAGACGTGTCGCCACAATTTGCCGCCAAACGCCGACGCCGCCGCCACCGCCAGCGCTTGGCGCCTAAAAATCAAATGGGGCGCCATATAACAAATTTTTAAAAATAACGTGCAACGACGTCAACGCTGACTCTGACGCCGACGCCGATGCCGACATCGACGCCAACGCCGACGTAGACTAATAATGTGATTTGTTCTCCTCGTGGCTATTTTTGCGCGCCACGGCGCATTGTTAATGATCTTCTCCAGCGCGGATCGTCTGCAGTCGCCGTCTGCCGCTTGCTTTTTCTTCGTTTACAATGTGATAATTTTAAACAATTTACTCCCCTTTTTTCGCCGCTGGCGCTTTTGTGCATTTAACGGTGTCGTCCTTGACTGCGGCGCCGCGGCGCCGCCTCGTCGCTGTGTGGCAGTTTCTGGAACTGGAGCGAGATAGGCAGCAATTTCTGCGCATCATAAAGAACAAAAAAAAAAAAAACAAGAACTACAACATGAGATATACAAGATGTGATTATAATTATATTGCAAACAGTTGCCTTGCTGATAGCGCCACGCATAGCAACAACAACAACAACCACTCCAGACAGAGTCGCATGATGACAATGCTGATAATGGGCCACAGCGACAGGGTCACTGCCAGCAGCGACGGTGGCAGCGGTAGCGGCAGCGACAGCAGAAGCAGCAGCAGCAGCATCAGCAGTCGCATTTCCTTTTGGTGGGGTGTTCGTTGGGGGTCACATGCAGCTGGCGCGGCAATAAGACGCCGACGCCGTTGACGCCGTTGACGCCGCTAACTCCATTCAGTGAGAGCGCGCGCATCAGCGGGAGCTGCGCTGTCGCTGCCGCTGGCGCTGCCGCAGCAACAATCGCTCGTGCGCGCTTGTTCATTCGTTCGTGCTCGCATGTTCGTTCGTTCGTTTTGCTGGTTCGCTCGTTGCGCTCGTGCGGCCCGGCACTGGTTCGGCTCATTGGGCTCCGGCTGCGGCTTTGGGCTGGCTCCCCAATCTTTCCTTTCAATAAAACCAGCGCCCGCTTGCAATTTTCACTTAGTTTGAGTCCGAACGGCGACTGCGCCGGCGTGTCCGTGTGTGTGCGTGTGCGTGTGTGTGTGTGTGTGTGTGTGAGACAGTGTGCGCGCGTGCGCGTGCAAGTGTGTGCCCAAGCGCGATTCCAATCGAATCGACTCGCATTGTATTGAAATTGAAATTGGCATCGATAAGCGATCGGAAAAAAAAAACGCGCGCAAACGCTATTTTTTTTAATGGATTTTTCGGAAATTAAGTTCGTTTCGTGCAATTTTGTTCTCACATCAAATTTATTTTGTTTTTTTTTTTTAATTGTTTGTTTATCAGCGCGTGTGGCGCATGCGCAACAAAAAAAAAAAACAACAACAACAACAAGAAGTGAGCAAAAGAACGAAAACAGAAACTAATTCAATATTGAAAATCGCTTAGTCATCGCCGGCGCAAACATTTTAACTCCTTCTTGTTTTTTGGTAGTTATTTTTTTGTTGGTTTTTTTGTTTTTGTTTACTTTTTTGTGTCTGTTGCGATTCTAAAGAATCCGCCGACGACCCAAATCGCCGTCGTTGGCCGCAGTATTTACCTGACATCATCCCAGCGTCAACATCAACATCATCAACATCAACATCATCATCATCGGGCATTATCATCATAATTATAATCAGCAAGAACGTCGGTATTTGCGGTTGACATCTTTACGGGCTTCATTCAGAGCAAAAACAAACACAAGCAGCAACAACAACAACAACAACAACAACAACAACAACAACAACAATCTCAGCAGGGGTGAGTACTCGGAACGCCCTCCAAGCCCATTCATAGATTCATTATTACAAATATTATATGGAATGTTAAAAACAAATTTCAATTTGTACCCAAAATTAGTTCACAAAAAAAAAAAACAAACGGGAACACTTATCGGCGGAATAAGTCGGGCGGGCGAGTTGCCCGGACAGATCAATTTAATTTGAAATTTAAAAACATCAATTTCATTAAAAAAAAGTTCACATTTTTCTCAAATTAGAAATTTTAAGAATGAAAAGATTTCAAATGTCAATATATTTATAAAAAATGGAAAAAAGTTTTGTATTCAATAAGAATTAGGTAAATTATTGGTGCTCTACGATTTATAGAAATTATAATATTTTATTCATAGAAATTAATTTTTGCTCATATCAAAAATGCATAATTTTAATTTAAAGAAGCACAAGAATAGACAGAAAAGGCAAACTTTACTTGTATAAAAAAGAATATAAAAAGAATAAAATAAATAATAATATATATATATATATATATGTTTAACTCATATATAGCATCATAGCATGATACTTTTTTTCGAATTAAAACTCTAGAATTCTTATACAATTTTCCAATTTTTCATAACTGGTAAATCCCTGGGAGAAATTTCTTAGCTGGGATTATTTTGTAAAAAAAGTTTAAATTTTTAACACAAGCTACTGACAGAAGATCTATTAAAAATAAATTGTAATTTTGAGAAAATTGATTCATTTGTAAATTATAAATTCAAGCAAATAACAAGTAAGAGGTTCTAGTCGGGAGCTCCCGACTAGGGGATACCCTGAACCCTCTTCTTCCAAACTCGGGCGATAGGTATAAAATGAAAGAAAGAAAGAAAGACTATTCTAGAAGCTTCATGTCAAGTTTGGTGACTTAAGCTCATATTATTTGCCGAAATTGCTCAAAAAACCGGATTTCGATATCGATTTTTATCGATTACTTGGAAACGGGGCAAGTTATCGAATATCGGAAACAAACTCGATCTATCCAATAAATAAATAGCTTAACGAGTGAAAGATATGTGAGGAAGTTCGTAAAGCACGTCAAAGTTAAGTTTGGTCAAGATATCTTGAAGAACAGCAAAATTTAGAGCTATGATGATATAGTAGAGCTATGATGATATAGATATAGATGTTTCTGCTGCCTACCACAGAAAGAGGGAACTATGCAAAGTTTAGGGACGTTAGCTTTAAGATAGACGGAATTGGCTATATCCACACGACTCCTGATACTGGACACGAATACATATATATATAGCAGAAAAATACATATACATATTATCAACTTTTATCTTAGTTTGTTCCAGTTTGTACTCAAAGAATCCCTTGGGGGAAACAAATGAAATATGGTGAAACAAAAAGCTTTATGCAAATTCGACTTAAAACAAGCGCAAAATAGCTAGAAGCAAAACAGAAAAGTCCTAAAACATACATTTTTATGCCCTTATATACGATATATAAGTTTGTCATTAAAAAGCTGAAGACATCTCCAACTCTATAGCGCATGCATATATATTTAAGGGTTGTCTCAAGACCTTTCCGTTTTGCTTCAAGCTATTTTGTGCTTATTTTAAGTCTAATTTAAAGTTTTTTCCAGTAAAGGATTCTTTGTGTTTCAACAGGAAAAAAATGCTAAGAGAATAGTTGAAAGCCAAGAAAAAACTCTGGCTACGTTCCACATCCATCCAAGGAGCTGTCCGTTTTGTGGAGCTTTCACTGTAGTACATTTGGTTGTGCGGTCAAACAATTTTCAGAGACTTACGAATGCGCCCGTGCATCCATAATTTTGACGTCTTCTGATATAGCTGCGCGCCAGTGACAGCTTTTGGGGGCGCATGCACGAGGGTTTTTTTTGTTTTTTATTTTTATTTATACTTTGTTTCATTATTTATTTTGTGGAGGAATAGTGTGAAAAAAAAACGACGATTCTTTCGCTTCGTTTTTTTTTTCTTCTCTGTTTTCTTTCTGTTTCTATTAACGTGCTGCGGCTGCTGTTTGCACGTTGGTTCGCATTGTTTTTATTTTTTTTTTATTGTTGGTTTCGGGCAAAACGGTAGCCATATATTAAGCTAATTTCCTGTGTGATCTCACACTCGTATACAGATACAGATACAGATACACAGATACACAGATACAGATACAGTATGTGTATCTGTCAGATACACGGCGAGCCAAATAAATGCCACAAGCAGCACCCAAAAATGGTCAAAATAAGCGCCGCGCATGTTTTTTTTCTGTTTTTTTTTTGGCCAGAAGCAGCTACAACATTGTATGAGGCAGCACAGATAAAAGCAAATTAAATGATTTGTTATAACTTTTTGTTGTTGTTGTTGTTGTTTTTTGTTATTTTGTGGGCTGCAGTGCGTCCCACTACACACACACACACACACACACACACGCACACACGCACACACCGCTTCCCCTCGCCAACTCCAACAACAATCTCCGAGCGCTGACGATCCGTGGCCATCCCGAGCAACGCCTGTGCAAAATTTATGGCCTGCATTTGTTGTACAACAACAAGCTGAAGAGAGATACAAACTTAACAAAGAGCAAATTAGACTGCTCGACTAGCACATACCCTACACTCAGGGCGCCAGCTTGCGCAGCGGCTGTGCTTCTTCTTCACTTGGCTCCACACTTTGGTCACACTATTTAGTCTTGTTTAAGTTCGGAGCTTATGATCCGATCTTTATGAAATTTTCAAGATCTACTTATGGCACAAATTTATGTAAAAATGTGGAGAATGTAAGAGCAGTTATCGAAAATGTAAAATATGTAATGAAATCGAGTTCGATTTACACCAAGTAAATAGCTTATTTAGTATTGCAATAATTTCGATTCTTAAAATCGATAATTATCGATGAATATGATAATGAACCTGCATACATTAATCGAGTAATTTTTAAACCAAATAACTTGAATTTTAAATTTTTCAATAAGTCCATTTCTCAAAATCGATATTTATCGATATCGTCAAAGTGGAAGATATCGATAAAACAATCGCAAGAAAGGAGAATAAGTAATATTTCTTCACATTTCTTGCCATTATGTTTTATCGATATAACAGATAATAGAAATCTCCAGCTTTTAACAAAGGCTGGATCGAAACAGCTCGGCGAGCTGATCAAATATATATGTATATATATACATATATATAGAATGTCTGTGATCGTAAATGTCTTCTTCTGCCTGTTACACACATTTGCACAAGCACATTATACCCCTTTTTAACAATTTTCAATGGGTCAAGGGTATACAAAATCAAAACGACGTCGCCATAAAAAATACATTTTCGGCCCACATGCGATGGAACCGACGCGGAGACGCCCGCCACTAAAGAAATTAAAATATGCCTCGAGACGGTAACAGCAGCAACAACAACAACAACAGCAGCAACAACAACAACAACAACAGCAGAAACAACAACATTAGATCCACATATGCGCCTTTGGTTGGAGTTACGTGCGATCTGGACAGAGCTGAGGCCCCGGTCCCGGCCCGCGCGCCCCTCCTCTGCGCACGTCCGTCGCTGCGCGTTTTACTACGTTAAAAGATTCATTTCATTCATAAAAATAAAAGCTGTGTGCGTGTGCGTGTGTGTGTGTGTCTGGCAATGGGCGTGCGTGTGTGTGTCTCAATGAAACTACAACGCATGAATGAAAAAAGAAGAAGAGATATACATATACGTATGTGAATGAAGCCACGCAGCAATATGGGAGTCTCTCTCTCTCTCTCTCTCTCTTACCCTCTCACGCAGCCCAGCTCTCCTCCTCTCTCTTTCTCTCTCTCTCTCTCTCTCTTACGGCTGCCAGGTAGGCGTACAAATTGCTTTGGTCTCGTCTCTGCCTCGCATCCAAGTGAAATCTTTCTATAAACTTCACAGCTCGCCCCTTGCCGCACTTTTTGCCATTTTCTGAACGATTTTGCCATATGCCTGGTGGGCAGATGTTATCCAACGAAGTTTCGACGGCGAAGCTCTCAAACGTTCCTTGGGCATATAGTGTTTGTTCCAGGGGCGATCAATAAGAGAAGTACATATATTATAACTGATCCAAGCTTACTTGATAGAAACCCAAATATATAGAGCCGGGGTATTAAATATCAGAAATATGCCCAGTATTCTTATCATATCACTAACAAATCTCATGTCTCTAGTGTTTCCCGAAGGTTCTCTAAGCAAAGAAAATATAATAATAATATTAATGTCAATATTAATAATAATAATAATAATAATAATATAAAATAATAATAATAATAAAAATAATAATAATAATTATTATAATTATAATAATACCAATTATAAAACAAATAATAATAACAATAACAATAACAATAACAATACGAATAATAATACCAATAATAAAACTAATACTAATGATAATGATTATCGTAATAGTTTGTTAGTAATGCATTTCCTTAGATTCGCCTGCGTCAAGAATTTGCCTAATTAACATCTTATTAATTTATAATACAGTTTTGCTTAAATTTGAATAATAAATTGGCTTATAGTTAACAATAACAATAAAAATAACAATAAAAATCATAAATTAGAGAAAATTAAAACCAGAAATTGGAACCGGCATTTTTAAAGTTTTCAAACTAAAATTGGTATTTCTCACAAATAAAATATATTTGTATTAGTATATGGTTTGCTTACCCTGAACCTATTGAAAATGGCTAAGAAGAGCATATTTTTTACAGTATCATATCAGATCGGACTACAAGCACCGAACTTCATCAAGAATGTGAGGCAAAGAAGAAGCACAACCGCCTTAGATGTATCTAAGAAGAAAGTTAGATATTATGTGCAGTTAGCTAGGGTATCTTCTAGTCGGCCAATTCCGACTTGAGCACTCTTATTTAATCGCTTTTTCTGGGATTTTTCTGCTGGTATTTTGTGTGCGAGTCTTTTGGTCGCATTATTTGCATACAAAGCTCAGCTTGTCGCCTATGCCCCAAATGATGATCATTAATGATGATCATTAG